CACTCAAAAGATCATGCACAACACAGAGCAAAAACTTCCGTTCCGGAATAATTATAATTTCATGAATCTTCGTGCGCACCCGGAGGAGCTTCAGCTCATCATCCTCTTCGCGCTCATGGCTTCCCTCGCTCTCTCTACTATCATGCCTCGCATGTCCGTTGCTGGTCGCGCCGCCTCCTGCCGCCGCCACAACCATTCCAGATCCACCATAATCAGTCTCATTACCGTCCCCACCGCCGCCGCTCCTCTCACTTGATGATTCTGATGGTAGTGGTGGTTTCGATAACGACGCGCCCAGAGCGGAGGCGGAGGAAACAAATGCAAATATGTGTGCGGCTAGCGTTTCCGCTTGGCTGGGTTTGTAGGGTGCGGCTTGTGGTTGTGGTTGTAGCTGTTCCTGTTGCTCTTGTATTTGCTTTTGCGCAGCTTCTGCTCGTCTCTCATCTGCGCTCGTGCTCGTTGTCTCTGGGTGAGTCACTTGCTCGTCTGGAGTTTGGGAGGTGGGAGAAGTGGAATCGGGTATCGATGCTGGCATTGGAGGTGAGGCTGGGGCTGGAGCTGGAGCTGGAGCTTGACGGGCGGGGGATGGACTTGAACGTGTGGCAAGGAGACCAGTTGTTCGTATTATAGATCCATCTTTCCGTGATAGGATGAGGGTGGATTGGACACCGGGCCGGGATGTGAGACTTGACAGATGGGCAGAAACATGGCGCGGAAGTTGAGGGGACTACATACATAAGTATTATGTTAGTTTCTACAAAAATTGCTTTAATTCGCTCGCTTGAGATACTCACTGTTGCCATTGGGACTATTCCTAAGGAGCGAGGATGTTTGAAGCGTAAGGTTGAGAAGGAAATTTCGGGTAGTGGGCAAATAACACTGACAATACGTCCACTTCCAGTAAGAAAAACGATTTTATAAATTAACCTAGAATGTTAACAAAGCTTAAGGTTAAGGAGTAGGTTCAGGAGCATCTTTTCAATGCGCGACATTGGTGCATTTGCTGTGATCTCAACACGCGTAACTAGGGGAGATTCCCGGACTTAGGTTTTGCCGGTGGCTCAAGAATTTTGACGAAGAATATACAGCTATGGTTCTTTGAAACAATATATTGGTTCCCAACGGGTGAACTAATTTGCGTTGAATGATATCCATCTCTGATCTCACATATCCCAGAGCACGTAAAAACAGTCCTTTAAAGCATAAAGCTGGTTGCTCTTATACCTTGTCATGGATGGAGGAAGGGATATATGATAATACGGTCTAGAAGAAATCTAATCCCACCAGCGCCTCATTATGGGTTCCAGTCAGAAAAAGAAGAACGAAAGGAAAAAGGACTTCCAGGTATTCAGTTTCAGTGACCCAATTAGCTCCTGTTGAATGACAGCAATTGCTAACTCGTATACGAACAGAAAACGAGGTTGAAAGTTGGGAAAACGAAGCCAAAGCCTTCAAATTTTACAGACACCAGTTTCCGGTCCCAAGGTACATCTTCCCCGACTCCGACAGGGTGAAATACAATCATTTAGTGTTTTCAACCAAGACATGTTGTGCATAAATCTACAATGCAACATTTTGTTGCTGCTTTTGCTAATCAGTATCTTTTCAGCTATTGTTTTGAATCAGCAATCGCTGACAACATCCGCTCCATCGGCATCATCTCAGTTCACCCATTATTTATCTCTTCTGAACTCAAAATCGGATTCCCAACGCAAGGACTCTCTTTCCTACTTGACGACGGCCATTGCTTCCCGCCCAGTCAATTCCCCTCTACCCCAACCAGTCAGTGTAATATTACCGTCTCTTGTATCTCTGATCCTGGACGGTAGCAATGGGGTCCGCAATCAACTGATTAAGCTTCTGAAATCGTTCCCTGCGCCAGACATGGAAGGACATATCTCTCAACTTCTACCCTACGTCCGTGCGGGCATGACGCATCTTGCAGTTGATATCCGACTATCTTCTGTCGAAATCATTTCCTGGCTTGTAGCCATTGCGGGGCGCGAGGTGGTCTCATCACCTGGTGGGTGGATAAAAACAATCAATTGCTTCCTGTCCATTCTAGGGTGGCATACAGAAGAATCAGTGAAGTGGTCGTCGAATAGAGCCTCATTCGGAAAAACTGGTAGTGATGGGAAGCCGATGGTTCGAACGCTGCAAGCTCTGGCGGAATTCCTAAGAGCAGGCATTGGCGCTGCTGAGGACGAATCTGAGATTGTGGGGGCGAACGTAATGGGTGACAAGGAGTGGAACTTTCCCCTTACCCAGACAAGCCACCACATTTTGCCAACTAAGTCTGCACCGTTTGCTTACCTCAATTTATTCGGACAGCCAAAAAACGAGGAGGGTGAGATGTATGAAACCAGGGAAGATAGGTTTAGAATTTTCTCTGACAGATTTCTACCTATTATAGAACGCGGAATAAACATGGCAAGACAAGAAGGTGGAGAGATCGGTCGTGCATCCGCAGGTGTAAAGAAAATTCTGAATGAAGCTCTGGCGCTCAATTCCGACCCTTGACATAACTACTTGCCCTTATCAAGCTTGTCGCTGGAAAAAGTCTGATTGTTCGGGCAATAAAAATGGTCAGCCATACGATGATATACGTTATGGGCTAAATTGCAGTCATGTCATCGGAATGCATGCCTCCCTCCAGGTTTCATCTCCAGGCTACTAGGACAAAGAGCTCAATTACCACCAGCGCCAGTTGACCCAATCCAACTCCTCCAGCAATATCATATCATATGGATAATGATGGCAACTCAAAACTCCAACTTCGAACCATTCGAAGATTATGACGACAGTTGCTGGAAAACTCAACAAACACTGAATTGACGTTCATTCGTTCGAACTCTAATCGTTTCAGGGGAGGACAATCCTTTTCAAATTGCTACATGCCCACAAAGACTTACTCCAGGGCAAAATCTACTACTTTCACCTCCAAATGTCTTACATTGTCTACCTCATCACGCCCAACGGCATGCCACGCAATCATCATGCCCTCTTTGTAGAAACGAATTCTGTCACAGGCTCCGACCATATTTTTCAAGTTACCGACAATATACAGAAAGGCATGGCCTTCGAAGATAAACCAGGCCATTCACCCGACCAGCAACCCACTTTCCATGGCAAGACGTTCCTTGGAACTGTGCAAAGAGATTATTAGAAATCGTTCAAGGACATTTTTGCTTGGGTATTCAGCCACCGAAGAAGCAATTTGATGGGCCGCGGTGGTGGTATTTGGACGAGCCAATTCGTCGGTGTCGGGAGTGGACTGCAGAGGCAATCCAGGATTAGACTAGCGCAGGCGTCCTTGTGGTTAAAGAAATACTACTACCGACTGTTCGCGACGACGAGAGAGGAGTCTTAACAATATCGTAACACCATTGGACACTAATCAAATCTTGATAAGGCGGGTTGGGAGTTGATAAGGGCCAATTTCCATTGATATGTACATACATCCTTCTTGGTCTGTCACGAAAGAACTCTCCTATGATTTCGCAGGTCAGTATATAATAAAGCCATTGCGCCTAGCCAGCCCGCAAAAGTGTGGGACAGAATTTTCGAGCTCTGATATTGAAAGTATCATTTCTATTCCAGCATATGCAAGGACTTTACTCACTCCTTGACAACTCATTAGTGCAGGCAACCCGCCGCTGCGGCGTTTTAGCCACATGATGGATTGCAGCTAATGTTGCGTCAAAGAAGCCCAAGGCAGACCATAATTCATGTATACCAAGATGTTTTGCCATTTGTCGGTGCCAGCTGAACTTTTGCTTGCTCTATAAGGTCGTTCGCTTTGTTTACCAACAATGTAATGGTGTGCTTCATCATTATCCAGTAGACCCAGGTCCTTGGGCTCGTGCAAGCATGGCTGGCATTGGGGCGTTTCTGCCCAAATTGGGCTTACCCTGTCGAAAGCTTTCGTCAAACAAATCGACCAAGTTAAGGACGCTCCTAGTAGCAATTCGCGCATTGAAAAGAAAATCGAACTACAGCAGAAAGGCTTACAGGATATAGGCAAGCTTGTCGAGAAAACCCTATAACGAACGCAGTCAGCTCAGAGGGTATCTAGAGTGCAATCCGAGCTTGATATACGTAATCCCCCAGTCAAGTTCAGAAAAAGAAAATCGATATATCTTCATTTACGAAATGTAAATGGCCATTTGTCAAGTTCAAACTGGACGTACCGAAGGCAGAGTTACAGAGAATAACAGCAACTCTGTCACTCCTTAGGGTAAGAATTATAAAATCAAGACCCAGAGCAGTAGCAAGAACAGGAGATTGAAGCCTTGAACGAAACTGCCCTCGTGCCGTCGACACTGAACTCGCTGACAAGATATCAACGCAATGAGCTCTACCCCGGTTGTTAGCAACCGTCCCAACAAGGCTGCATGCCAACAACAGCAGTTTCCGCTTATGCTCCCCTCCCGACCACACTCCCCTTGACCCAGGCCCCTCTGGATATATCCTCTTTCACCCGATCCTCCCTGTGCCCCAAGCAACTGTGCAGAAACGAAGATGGATAAACAAAACGAAGGGAATGAGGAACACAGACGGCGTCCAATTCACCGCAGCCACCTTCAAGGTCGCAGCTACGCTGTTCCGACTAATAATACTAACCGTGGCCAACGGCGCCTGATAGCCGCGTTAATCCCGACCCTTGAACCCTGCGACAGTCTCCCTGCCGCAGCTGACTTCACGTGAACTGTATGTGTCTTGTGGTTTTATTGGCCATACTCCACCCATTGGAGCCTCATCCTCTGCTGCAAGTAGCAGCGATGAAATTGGCCCTTTATGGATTAGAGACAATGCTGGTGAAGAGTCAAAATGATGATAGTTATCACAACGCGAACGGTTGTTTTAGTGACTCTTCCGTTTGCTGATCTCTGTGGGCATGTGGTATTTATGGAAGCATGGAAATTGGTTTCAGCCTGATTATCTCTCAACGGCTATTCTCTCTTTATCTTATACATCATTGTGGATATTCATTCAATACAGATTGTGGTTCCCCTCTCTCATTTCGTCAAAAAGATCAGCAATGCTCAAGCGTTTATGCCCTCTTACCGGCATAGTACTACGATCAGTAAGTCTGGCTCCAGAGGCCGAATATTCATAACCTCTCAATAAATATATGTATCGAAAGCGTATCAAAGGTTTTGTCGCCGCCTCACCACCGTTGCCAAGAAGCTGGCTCCACCGATTCCGTTACCAAGATGGGCACATCCGGCAGTGGACTATGTCTAAGTCAAGTCCCTCTGTTACTCCCCAGGCAATCTAACATCAGCCCACCCTCTACTCCCACTCTTTCCATCCCGCCTCACCAACTTCCAAGTTTCAGGATCCAACCACCCAATCCGCGCGCGGTCCCCAAAGCCCCCAACCCAGAATGCCTCTTCCACAACCAACTTCGCCCAATAACCGCTGTGCACAGCATTGTCGTGATCAGGCAGCCAGAACTTAGCATCGGGGTGAGCATCCAGAAAGCACCTCTCAACCGCGACGCGGGTGGCATCCGACAAATGCTCCAATGGAACAAGGGAGCCCAGGAGGGACAAGCGAGGCAACTCAGCCCCGCCCACAACGCCATCGCGCCCAACACCAAAGACACCAGTTCTCCCATCAGCCTGCCGATGCCACCAGTCAAGAGACAGTGAGATATTGGAGCCAGCCCTCGTGTTGCGGAATGTGGTGCCGACATTCAGTGCGAGGATCAGCGGGTTTCCCGGCCCGAGGAGAGCTTCCAGTTCGCTCGATGGCTCGTTTGCGCAATCCGCGATGTAATCCGGGAGGCCTATTGGGACTCCCGATAGCGAAGACCTGTGCACGGACGAGCTAGGGGGGTAAACGGTTGATAGGACGCCAGTAGTTGAAAGGGCAAGAAGACGACGCGCGAGGAGGTGGGTGGTGTCCCAGCTCGGGAAGGTATATTCCGGCTTGTTGATAGGATCATCCTCGTTGCCGAGGCTGGCAGTGTGCGAGCGTCCTGTGGTTATTTCTTGAAGATTGGGGGGCTCTGCTTTCTCGTTCGGAGTAATTGGGAATTGGGATGCTCTACCAATAGCGTCGAACCCGGTCGATGGGGGAAGCGTTGCGGCGAGAGAAAAAAGGAGGAGCTTCATGAACGCGAGGATATTCAGTGACCACATGGTGTGTTCGTAGATCGATTGTTTCGTGTCTTTGTGGAGTGTTTTATCTTTGAACAGCCAGAGCGGATACTTTCAAGAGCTGAGGGGGTGGCTTTTCTTTCAACAGCGGGGAAGTCACGCGGATTCAAATGCAGATTCCGAACTTTAACGCATTCAAGAAAAAGTGGAGCCCGCGTGGAGATATTTCCTCCGCGTTTACAGGACCATGTAGTCCGCGCTATCTATCAACAGATGAGAGGGAAGTTGCTGGTCGAGGGCTCAATGATGCTGATTGTAAACCAGATGATCAGATAAGATACGGCGGCTCTTACGGCGAATAAGATGTTTGTTGTAGACTAGTAGTTAGATTAAGGTTCGGAGGATTAATCATCCGTCTTGGCATTAGCAGCTCGGCATTTATCTTGCAGAATAACCAGATCCTTCACCAGTAAGAATTCCAATTCCACAACCAAATAAGCAAGGGTATTTGGAATACAATCAAAGAAAAAGAAAGAAAAGAGAGAGAGAGAGAGAGAAAGAGAAAGAGAAGCCAGCTTATCCGGTTCTAATCTAGCAATGCACTACCCACTCCTTGTAGTTCGGTATCGCTTTGGTTGGAAAAAAAAAAAAAAAAAAAAAAAAAAAAAAAAAAAAAATGCGCGGAGACCTTTACCTCCCAGTGATTGCACATTTCACGAACTGCTCCCCCTTATCCACTATGTATATCCGCTATCAAGCCCGGTATATATATATATATTCACGGCAGGACGGGGCAGACGGACAGCTAAGCTGCTTGACCAGCTCCTATACTATAGGTATTGGGAATTCATAAAAACGGCAACGTAACCGTTTGTTAGATGATTGCGCCCATAGTGATATATATATGTATAT